TAGTAATTCCAAGATACCTGGTATAAAGTTTGATCATTTAAGGAGCATTATAATTTGGTCTAATTTTGTCTCGTCAAGACTAATCTATTCTTGTCTAGTCAAATTCGATTTGTTTTGGCCTAAACTAGACTCGTATAATTCCTTCTTATTAAATTTAATGTGAGGTTGGCTTGGTATTGCGTGAGGTTTTGTAGTCCCTCCCAATTTAAAAGTTCACTTCAATAGGTTTGGGCGTACTCCATAAAATTTAAAGATGAAATGGTAAGAGTAAGATTGTAACAAATAGTATAAAAAAGTAGGAGATAGTAGAAAAGTATGAAAAATTTAAAGAAAAAACTTAAAGTAGAAAAAGTAACGGTAATTAAGTATTTATATTTAAAGGTAAACTTTTATATACGTCCAAAAAGGAAAGTGTAGCAAACTTTAAAATAAGTATTTTAATTTGTAATTATATTGTTGTCCAATATATATGTGTACATAATTTCTTTAAGATTTTTTTGATGTGATTGTCATTTTGGCCTAACGTTGTAATTCATATAGATTATTAAAAGTACACCGATTAACTTAGAGGAAGGTTGACAATATGGTACTTCAATAACTATAGATATAGTACTCGTTATATTACATATTTACATTGCTATGAATGCTATCTGTCCCTAAGATTGGCACATAAGGGATGATACGATTATTAATCACATTTGCATAAGCTATGAATATGGTTAGAATAAGCTAGAATGAATCACATAAATACTTCAAATATACAATAGAAAAAGAGAAAAAGCAATTATATATGCTTTTTATACATGTCACTTTGTACACGTCATTTTACACGTCATGTAATTGTCTTATATAAACCATCTTGAAGAGATTTGTGTGGCACACCGACAATTTTATTTGTCTATATACAAACAATTACCCTACATGTAAAATGACGTGTACAAAACATCATTTTCCTAGAAAAAATGAGCAGAATGTAGTAGCAGATAGTCTTACATAAAAGCATAGTGATATTCAAGTAAAGTAAGTCATATCATACTAATTAAGAACCTGATTGGTCACATTTTTTTTTAAAGATAGACCTGATTAACAACATCTAATTTGGTTGAATTGACCTAAATTGGTGAAATTCTGGATGAAACGGTTGAATGAGTGCAATTTAGTGAATTAAGAAAAAATACATTTCAAATATATTTTACTAATAAAATAAAGAAACTTTAACCTTACTTATTTTGATTATTACTAAACAATAAATTAAGTGTTTGCTTAAACATTTTTCTCATGAAAATATTAGGCCTGGAATAATGATTCCAAACTAGTACTCCCCCCGTCCCGATCATTTCTTCCAATTTTCCTTTTTGAGGCGTCCCAATTAATTCTTCCAACTTCCACTTTTGGAAAAAATATGTGGTTCACATTCATTCACCTTTTTCTAACACAACTACAACCATACATTTTCACTTTATTCTCACTACCTAAATTTGCGATACCGGTCAAAATCGGAAGAAATGACCGGGATGAAGGGAGTATCTCACTACGAAACTAAGGATGGAGCCAACGCTCACTTCTAGAACTAAACATATTATACATGCTAGACTGAAGGACAGAGTGTGCCTTAGAGGATTTCCAAGATGGGTGTAAAGATTTGTAGGGAAAATATTGAGCCAAATCTAACACTCCTAAAACGAGTTTGGGGCAAAATACTACTCCCATCCATATGAAGTTCTGTCCACTCAGGCTGAGTGTATTGAGACACAAAATGTATTTTGGGGTGGGGCTGATGAATGAACGATGGTCCCAATGGTTACATAGTCAATTGCAGTGTCATTACTGAATATGACATTGGGTCACAAAAATGTAGATTCAAATTGATTAGGATAGTTCAGCCTCACATGGTATATACTGAGTAATATGGTATAATCCAATTGTTTTTCGATTGAATTAAATTTATGATTTAGAGGCCGTTTGGCAATCCTCATTTTCGGCTTATCAGGCTTATCAGCCAACTTTTTTACCAAACACGTAAATTTTGCTTTCGCGCGCTGAATTGTGTAATAAGCCGAAAAAGTAAGGTTGAAGTTACTTTTCTGGCTGTATTGGCTGAAGTTACCGTAGATGATCATTTTAGCTATTTTTACATATAATTTTTTCTTTATTTTATTAATAAAATATATTTCAAAAATATTTTATTCTTGTATCAGCAGAATCAGCCAATGCAGCCACTTCAGCCAGAACTTCATAAATTTCAGCAGAATCAGCCAAAACAGCCGATTTTCGTGCTACCAAACAGGCCCTTAGTCTATTCAAACTTGTTCTAATTTTGTGTAATTTGTTTAGACCTGATCCCCTCTGATTCGATAAATGTCAATAATCTACATATACTTAACAATTATTTAAATTTGGTTTAATATGATACCGAAATAAGTCTCAACAAAAACATGTTTATATCCATTGTGTTCGGGCTTTTCTAAAAGTTGATACATATTTTAGTAATCCATATAATTAAATGCATCAAACTATCTCACGATATACAAATTATGTGCATTAGTCGTTTATGTTTTGAAAAATTCATTAAACCACCATGTGTTGTAATATTCATATACATAATCACATTGAAGAGCAAGTTTATTTATCGAATTAAGTAAACTTAATTATTTTTTTTTTGTATAATTTAGATATCTTACCAAATTTATTTGCATATTTAATCATAACATTATGGTAAGCGATTCTCAAATTTCCGAACTTATCATTTCATGGTATTATATGCACAATTAATTACAAAGTAGAATATAATGGACTTTGATGAACTCTTAAAGTCACAAAAATTAATCCAAACAATTCATATCTCTGGATGAGATTTGGCTATCATAAATACATCATATATAACTTATAGGCCTTTTTCCGTTAGTATTACTAAATTAAATTCAAAATAAAAAAATATGACTTATTTAAAAAAAATACAAAAAGTGATATATTCAACGACTACTTTCTGGTGATACATCATCTGCTAGTGACTTGTCCCTCTGAAATACACTATAGTGACGTTTGCTCAGTTACTCATACACAGTGACTAGTCAATAGTCATGTTTTGTTCAAAAACATAACTACTCATATTTTGTTCGGAGAAACAGCATTAGTCACATATATGTCATTTTTCTAATATTATAATTTATAATTTGTTCGGAGTAATATACTAGTAAGTAGTAATATGAATACAGAACGTGTGTTCACGTTTGCCTATTCCTTCATAAGCTCGGTAGTTCTCTATGAAAACATTGATGATGAGATAATTGAGATCAGTTATATTTTTTTCTGGTACTTAACATTCAAACTAATCTATGAAATTTGTTCAAGAATGATATCTACCGACGTTCTTGTAATGCCGAAAGCTGGCATCTACTCCGATATGCCATACTTGTTGAGAGTTAAGGTTATCAATGAAACGATAGTTGATTAGCTTTCATACCCGAAGTGATTAGTTAGCTAATAGTACTTCCATACCAAATTAATTGAAGTCTAAAAAATGCACATATAGGTAGTTGGGATTTGGGAATATCATAAAATGACTCTTACATCACTACAAAAAAACGTTGAGATTGTCACGAATTTTGTCACGGGTCGTAGTTAAAAAAATCCGGAACAAACAACTTTGTTACGGATTTTATCATGGATTTTTTCCGTGACCGTTTGGACGTGACAAAATTGTCACGGACCAAATCCGTGACAAAAACGCTGTTTTTTGTAGTGCATGTACATAAAAATTGAACAAGTATAGACATACAACTGCAATGAGATAGAAAGTGTAAAATGATTTAAAAAGGGAGTGTATTTCACTGAGAGGCACAAAACTTGTCACTTATACCATGCAATATTACACTTTTTTTATTCTTTCCATCCCACAATTTGCGCAATTTATACCCTGGGATCGGCGCATCATGAGGATGGTGCGCCTGATCCCAAAACGACGCAGCATTTACTATTTTTTTCTTTTATTGTTAAAAATTGTAATAACTTTTTTATTTGATATCCGATTTTTATAAATTTTATATCAATTTTTATTTTTATTTTTCATGATCTATCAAATGAGACCAATATTGCTTATGTAATTTTAACAAATTATTTTAAAGTTACATTTGATAATATATCATGAAGTTACATCTTCTTTTGCACGAGTTACATCTTATTGTACGCGAGTTACATCTTAATATACACGAGTTACATCTTAATGTATGTGAGTTACATCTTAATGTATGTGAATTACACCATGAAATAAACCTCTGCTACATCTTTCATTTTTATCATTTGAAAAATAGTGTATGAATATGAAATACAATATACTTATTTTATGTGGATTAATAAAATTTTGTATTAAATTGGCAAAGAAAAAAATTAATTCAGTTATAATTGAATTAGTTCAAGATAAAGATAAGTAAAAAATCACAAATAATTAGATATAACTCACACATAATTACATGTAACTCGCGCATAAAAGTATGTAACTCGTGTATAACAAGATGTAACTCACACAAAACAAGATGTAACTCACACATAATTACATGTAACTCTCGCATAAAAGTATGTAACTCATGTATAGCAATATGTAACTCACACATAACAAGATGTAGCTCACACATAATAACTTGTAACTGGAGTATAAGATGATGTAACTTCGTATATTATCAAATATAACTCCAAGCTAGAAGCAAAATAAACAAACTCAGTTTCTTAAAAACCTCTAAAACATATAAAAGTGATAAAAAAAATCTATTATAGCAAAAGTGTATGCATATAAAAATATATTACAAAAAATGTATGGATGTAAAGAATTAAAATTACATAGGCAATATTGGTCTCATTTTGAAGATCATGAAAAATAAAAAATTTGGGTATAAATTTTATAAAAATCGGATAAAAAATAAAAAATTATTAATAATTTTAAGAAAATGAAAAATAAAAAATAACAAAGGGTGCTCATCATGCACAGGTACCACCTTATAAGCACTGAACAATTTGCTTCAATTATACGGAGTAATATATTACTCCGTACTACGTGTATATATATGTAATACTAAATAAATGCATCTTAGTCCAAATATACATCATTTCTTAATTACAAACAAACCCAACTCATTTAAATGTACATTACTTGTATTAAACAACTCGCTTTCATGATAATTTTAAAATGAGAGAGTCCTGGAAAATGCCTTTTTAAGAGACAATTTCCAGCTCAATAGTGAGCGAGTCCTAAGCAGAGCCAGAGGTTGAGCCGAACGACGACGTTTTAGAAAGGATGACGATAGTTTGGTCGTCAATGGCTGGGATAACACTTGTTCTTCCCCGCCTCCTTCTGGTTCAACGACGTCGTCGTCGTTGTCTTGAGGATTCCAAAAGCGAGCATCTTTCCTCTTTTTCCTAATTGTTGACAAAACATCATATTTGTTGCATATCCCCCACACTGTAACCTTCTGCTCTTTAAATTCCACATTCACCGAGTATATTCCTGTACCATTTCATCCATTTATTTTTGTACCATATTATTTTTTTGTACATTCTTATGAAATGTTATTCCATATAAGATGAGTAAGCTGCAAAAAATATATGATAGAAATCAAGATCGATGAGGATCATCCTGCACAAATGAAGAAGCTAGGAATTTGGCACGGATTTATCGATTTTTTGTGCCAAATAGCTTATGCCAAAGTGTTTTTGGCACAGATTTGACATATCCCTGCTAAAATCTCTCCCAAATACCTGCCAAAATCACTGTCTATCCCACGTTTTTTTTTGTAGTAAATGAGCAAATTAGCCGGGTGGCCTTGGGGATTGAATTTATAATTTAAATCTATGAGCAGTTCAAGCTCATTCTAATATTTAAACATATTCTTCAAATTGATCATATACAAGACTCAAATTTTTTAAAAAGCAATCAATCAACCGTTTTTACGAGTGTTGAAAACCTAGAGCAGGTCGTCACATATTAATTAAAATTTGAGTAAATCTAAAAATGTATAAGAAAATTTTAAAAAATATAGAAATGTCAAAATCTATAATGCTTTGTGTTTTTTATATTTAATAATGTTTTATATTCTATATTTATAAACTACACTCATTCAGTTCACGAATTAAATTCGTAGTCACGCTATGGGTGTTTAGGGAACATGTGTTTTTGTATTGATTTTCCAAATAATACACCTTGTATAGTCGATACAATGAATTATTAGCATATACACGCTTAAAAGATTCTCTTACACCGAACTATTGCTGAAAAGGAACTATAAACATAGCTCGTTTGATAATATCAAAATTGACCGAATTTGAACAAATTTATAAAATTTTGACTGAAGTGACTGAATTGATTGATTCTGATGATTTATTAAAAAATTATATTTAAAATATACTTTATTAATAAAATACAGAAAAAATTATATATAAAAATAGTTAAAATGATCCTGTACAATAATTTCAGTCAATATAAGTAGAAAAATAACTTCAATCTTATATTTTCTTATTATTAAAAATTCAGCATCACTATGTGTTTTCAACGACAGTTAACTGATTTGTTGATGAGAATGAAGTAATTAAGATGTCGCTTCGATTTATGTTAGCCCCATGTGCCTGCCCATTGAGTATCAAACATGCTGGCGGTATAGTCGTATATATAGATATGCCAAATGTAACTGATCACTTGAGAAGCTCCCCAACTACTCATACTAGGGCCGGCAATTTGAACCGAAAAACCGAAAACCGAACCGAAAAAAACCGAACCGTCAAAGAAAAACACCGAACCGAACCGAAAAAATTGGGACCCGAAAATTGAGACCCGAAGTCTATCTCGGTTCGGTACCGGTTTTTTATATGATAAAGGTTGGTTGAACCGAACCGAAAATATATATTATTTATAAAAATCATTATTTTTATCCCAACTCCCTATCATTTGAAAAGCCCAACTCCCTATCATTTGGCCCAACTCCCTATCATTTGGCCCAACTCCGTAGCTGTGAAGGAAATACGGAGCACAGAAAGACTCAAAGAAGCCGCCAGGGAACTTGCGGAACTGCGGAAGACTGGAAGAGAAAGCACCGCTCTTTCTCCGCTATTTCATTCGGGCGGAGAAGCCATAGTCGACGAACAATCGAAATCGGACATATCAGTGATATCACCGTCTACCATTCAGGCGAAGTGTTGAACGGCTGAAGCCTGCGGAACTGCGCCGAAGTGTTGAACGGCTGAAGTGTTGAACTGCGCCGAAGTGTTGAATCTGCCGCCTCAGTGATATCACCGTCTACCATTCAGGCGATTGTTCCGCGCCGAAGTGTTGAACGGCTGAAGCCTGAAGGGGAGGTGAAGAGAGCAATCTGCCGCCCGTCTACCATCGCTCCTGCTCCGGCTACCATCTCCGGTCTAACATTGCAGGTAACTCAAAAAACTCTTTCAATCTCTTTCCCAACTGTCTCTGATTTGAGGGAGGAAACCAAATTAAATTGAATTGAGGAGTAAACCTTTTCAAAGACGAATGCAGAAGGAAATGAATATGGTGCAGCGGCGCTGCATTCTCACAGACTAACGCAGGGAGAAGAAACGAACGCAGAGGTAATTACCTTTGTCAAACTCAAGATCTAGTGTTTTGTTTTAGTTTCACCTTCATTTTTTGTTTTTAGTTTTTTTTTTGTTTCAGCTTGTCAGCTTTAGTTTCTAGTTTCAGCCTTATTTTTTTGAAAAGCTTTGAAACGTTCATGACCTTACTAAAACATGTGATGCAGATTTTCATTGTTTTCGCAATTGACATCTAACATTGAAATATTGAAATGTTCATATAGTTTTGCTTATTATTTGTTGTTTACAAGTTACAACAATTGTTTTCTGGATCGTATCTCATGGCTTTAGTACTCCCGTACCCCCTCAAAGTGTTTTAACAGTAACTGTTATGTATATGAGAGCAGAGGTATTATATTGTTATTGAATATGATGATTATTTGTGAATTTATGATCAAACAATTTTCTTGAAAACCAACATTGCTTGAATTGTTATATTGAAAGAACTTGATACAGGAACTTCACCAACATCTTAAACATCTATTCTACCTCAAGACACACTAACAGTTGTTTAATTCCTTTCCAATGTTTGTAAGATAGCTTATTTTCCATCTGCAATGAGCATATACAGGTTTTGAGCATATATGGAGTAGGTTAGTTTCATTTTTTCCTTTTTTTTGCATTTAGAGCGTGTGAGTTTCAAAATGTTGTTACAGTACTGTTGCTAGTTGTTTTGAACAGAGTTCATGCAACAAAACTAAGAACTAGAACTTTATCTATTTCCACAGTGAACTAGTTTCCCATTGCATCATATTGTTATTAATTTATTATGCATGTTTGCAAGCTTAAGTATTTGTGTTATTTGACATTTTCCTCATGAGTTTAATCCATTAGGTGAAGTTATCTTTGCACATATCTGGTATCTTTGAACTGATGAATTTTAGTTATGTTGTTTAGACTTTAGATGGATGCTCATTCAGGTTCCCAACCTCAAAGCTCTCCCATTGAGGAACAATCTCAAACCCAAGATAACGTGCAAGAATCTACTGATGTTGTCAGTAAAAAGAAACCGGGAAAGAGTATTGTATGGCAACATTGTTCAAAAGGGGAAGGTAAAGATGACGAGGGCAATGTGTATCCAATTGGTATATGCAATTATTGCGAAAAAGAGTACCGGGCAGATTCTAAGAAAAATGGCACGACGGCCCTTCTTAACCATTTATATCGGTGTGCGGGATCTCCTCTTTGTAATAGGACTGGTCCAAATCAACCAATTTTAAATCAAGCAAGTATGGGAGGCGAGGTGCAAATCCACAACTTCAATAAAAACGACTTGACATGAAGTGTGTGAAGTGGATCATCAAAGGAGAGTTACCCTTTAGGATAGTTGACCAGCCGGACTTTAGAGCTTTTATTAGTGATCTTCAACCTAAATATAAGATTCCTAATAGAAAGAAGATTGCCATGGAGGTATGGGATCTGTTTTGTGAGGAGAAGGCGAAGATTAAAAGTGTACTTGGTGATCTGAGGGTGAGCATCACACCCGATACTTGGACCTCAATCCAAAATATCAATTACATGGTGGTCACCGCTCATTTCATAGATATGGAGTTCAAGTTGCACAAAAGGGTGATTAACTTTTCTAAGATCACTTCTCATAAGGGTGATGATATAGGTAGATGTCTTGAAGAAAAGTTGAATGAGTGGGGTATAAGCAAAGTTTTTAGCATTGCCGTTGATAATGCTAGTTCAAACGATGTTGCGGTTGAGTACATGAAGAAGAAGCTAAAAAATCATGATGATCTTTTTCTTGACGGTTATCACTTGCATATGAGGTGCACATGTCATATTATTAATTTGATTGTAAAGGATGGGATGAAGGAGTTGGTTGACTCCATTGAGGGCATTCGAAATTGTGTGAAGTATATTCATTCTTCAAGTGCAAGGTTGGATAAGTTTAGGGATTGTGCGGTATTGGAGAAGAAGGATAAGATGACTACCGTTCCTTTGGATGTGGTGACAAGGTGGAATGCAACCTATTCTATGCTTCATAGTGCTTATAAATACAAAGACGTTTTTGCAAGGTTGGGTGAAGATAGCACACAATTTCATGCATATTTTTGTGAGGAAGTAATGAGAGAGGTTGATGGCAAAAAAGTGAAAGTCAAGAGAGTGGGACCTCCGGAAGAGGAAGATTGGGGGAAAGCAATGGGCTTTGCACATTTCCTAAAGAAGTTCTATGATGTCACTATCAAACTTAGTGCCACGAAGAGCCCTACATCACATCTAGTTTTGAGAAGTTTGGTCAACTTGAAACTAGAAATTGATAGGAAGATTGGGGATTCCAAAGATCCTATTTTGCAAAGTGTGGCCAAATCAATGAAGGTAAAGTTTGATAAGTATTGGGGTGCTTTTGATAAAATGAATCTAGTAGTCTTTGTGGCCCAAGCTCTTGATCCAAGATACAAATTGCAAATGATTGAAATACACTTGGAAGATCTTGGGTTCACTTCCGTGCAAGTTGAAGCTATGAAGAGTGAAGTGAAAGGTCACTTGAATAAAATGTACGATGCATATAAGGCAAAAAACGTTGACCAATCTTGTGTAGAGGTTCAAATGGAGGAAGATGATGATGATGATGTAGATGATATGGAAGCAAGGGCGGAACGAAAGCTTAATAAGCAAAGAAGAGAGGCCAAGCTTAAGGAGATAGCTAATGAAGTAGATAAGTACTTCAATGATGCTTATGAGAGTACAAGAAATGATGAATTTCATTTATTAGATTGGTGGAGAGTCAATAGTGGGAATTATCCAACTCTTGCTAAGGTTGCTAGAGATGTATTTGCTATCCCGAGTTCTACGGTTGCTAGTGAGAATGCGTTTAGCCTAGGGGGGAGGGTTGTGGATCCATTTAGAGCTTCATTAACTCCTAGAATGGTTGAGGCATTAGTGTGTACTAGTGATTGGCTAAGAGGGGAAGAATTCCAATTCTACAAAGAGCCTACGGATGAAGAGCTTGAGTTCTATAAGGAACTTGAAGAACTAGAGCAAAGTAAATGGCTAACTTTCTTGAGTAATTTATAACTAATATTAATTACTATTATTATTATTATTGTTGTTGTTATTGTATTTGTTGTTGTTATTAAAAGTCTAAAACTACTAATATAGGTATGTCTAATGTAGTGCAAGTGCCACCATCTCTTCACAGAAATTTAGCATTACCACCCCCACCATCACACTCTCAAGTTCAAAGCCAACTCCCACCAAGTTCACGTGTAGGTTCAAGAGGGGCTCCATCAAGAACAAGAAAACGTGGAAGAAGTATTGCATCATCTACTCATCCATGAAAAGTTGATGAAGGTTTTTTTTTCATATTTTCATTCCCAATATATTAACTCTTATTTATGATATATTGTCCTCTAACTAACTCTAAAAGTCTAAATTATTACATGTATGGGCGTATGGCAGTCCAATATATTAATTATTAATATTTTTTATTTACATGTCAAATGCAGGATGGTTAATGGCAGTACACCGTACACATGCTCTCAACTTTGAAGTTTTTCGTTAGTTGATTTGGATGTTCTTGAACATTGTCCTTTTAAATTAAACTCAATGCATGTGTCTACTTTTGAATTTAGTTTTGATTTGTCCCCAAATTATGGGATGTTGAATGTTGGATTTGTTTATCACTTTATTGTGTTGAATGTTGGATTTGTTTTGAAATAGACTGTTGGATTTTATTATTCGTGTTGTTGGATTTTATTATTGTTGGTGAATGATCGATATTAAAATTGTGTGTTAATTTTTTAGTTAGCCTAGTAATTCAGTATTTGATTATAGTCTTCTTCATATGATTCTCTATTGTCTTTGCTTAAAAAAATGTAGTTCAGCAGGAATATATTTTTACCGGTCTTACTTTGGATATTAAAGAAAATATAATCGGGTCCCAGTCAAACCGAACCGATAATTCGGTTCCCAAAAAATCGGTTCCCGAATCTATATCGGTTCGGTTCCGGTTTCCATTATCCCCAAAACCGAAAAATCGGTTCGGTTCTACAAACCGACAAATCGGTTCGGGTCCCAAACCGAACCCAGCCCTAACTCATACAAATACGTTCTACGGTTATCAATGTTAGACCGTTAGAGTTTTATGTAAATTATACCGTGTCACCGCTATAGAACTGTGGAGTTTTATAATACACTTGGAAACACCAAAATTAAATAAATAGCTAGGCAGAATCTGTCGAAAATTATAAAATTCGGATTGAAACCGTTAAATTGGTAGAATCAGCTGAAATATGAAAAAAAACATAATTGAAATATTCCTTGTCTATTTAAAAGTCCTCTTTTGATTTACACACAATTTAAGGAAAATATATTATTTGACATTGTTTTGACACTGTTCGGTACTGTTTTATTTAGGCACAAAGATAGTGTATTAATATTATTAATAAAATAAAATTGGGAAAAAGTTATATTGGAATATCTAAAATGATCTTCTACAATAATTTTGATTAGTCAATTCAATTAGAAGAGTAACTTTGATATTTTTTTGCTTATGACATAATTGAACACATAAGATCATAACTCAAGTTATGTATTTAATAAAAATGTCAGCTGATAAGCTGAGAATGTAGTTACCAAATAGACACTTAATATCAGATCTTGTAATTCAATTCTTGACAAGGTGACAACTCCGGTACCCATTTAAAAAATGGGGTACCGTAACTACCATTCATTTGATTGGTCCAAATAGGTATATCATTTTTAATTTAGACTTAAATAATTCAACTGCAACACTTTCATTGGTCCATGTGGACAAAGGTATGATACCTTATGGGTACCATAGAATCTACCTCTTGACAATTACGTTGTCGGACAAACTTACGGAGTACTTATTTTCAAAAGTACTATATGCAAAATATCACTCTTTATCAATCGGTTTGCGATTATAATTGATCAATTTAAGAGGCCGTTTGACAACCCTCATTTTCGGTTTATCAGGCTTATCAGCCATTCTTACACATTTATCTCTCCTCTACATAACTCTCCACCACACAAATCCCACTATTTTAAAACTCGTGCACGGTCAAAAGCAGAGTTAAATATGGGACGGAGGGAGTATTTTTTTACATATAGGGCTGCCCTGAACATACAAAATTCTACGAGTATGTACTTCGTATTACGTAGTAGGGAGTACAAAATATTTTATTTCGATATTTTTTAAATTTGACCAATGGGTACCTACCTCTAATGTGGGATAAGGCGTTCTTGACCTTCCTCACGCATCCGTGAGAATAGAGAGGAACCATCATTTCTACATACTGCGCTTCCACTTTCCTTCTGCTAGATGATGTCTCTGCCGGAACAATCTGCAGATTATTCTCCGCCATGGATAGCTATGCTGCCGCCGCCCGCCGCCCCTTATTTGTGTTACTGCCAATTAATATATCTAGTTTAATTAATAACTCAAATTAATGCATCGATCTTGCAACTACGTTTTTGTATATAATTATATATATATGTGTGCATCTATATATACACACAAAGTGGATGGGCATCATGCACGAAACGGCCATGAATCTAACTTTATACTATCCTAATCAGAAAGGTGCAGTACTATATAGAATGTATTCATGCCTAAGATTCCACCTTTTTTTATTTCGTGACTTAAGATCGATGTGTATATAGGCAGGACGCGCAACATACATAACGATATCTCCAAATAGATTTATGTATTCATATATTGAAATTTTAATTTACGTATTTTTTTAATAGGATTAACTTTTTGTTTTCCAAATTTGTACATAATTTTACTGAAGTTATTGTAGAATGTCATTTTAGCTATATATATATATATATATATATATTGTTTATTTCATTAATGAAATATATTTTAAATTTAATTTTTAATAAAGCAGTAGATTCGGTCAACTTTAATAAAAAAGAAATTGTCCTAAATGAGACTAAAATATGGCTAAAACTCCAAAATAGAACTTGAACTTTTAAATTCCCTAAATGGAACTCTAGATTACCTTTTTACCCCTAGTCCCTAAATCACCTTTTCCCCAATTTCTCTTCATCGATCGCGAGACCTACGACTACACCTTCCCCTTGCGACTCAGCTGCCATGGACGCAACTCAACCGCCATCGATCGCGGACAACTCGACCTGCTACCATAGCAGCTGCCTGCTCACCACCGGCAGTCAAATTCATGCGAGCTCTGTTTTAGCTAGTTTCTTTGCGGAGCCAGAGACCTGGTGGGGGGAAGTCAAATGAATCCTTGTTCGTACATAGGCTTCTATGGTACGAAATTAGCCACAAGACGAATCATTTGGTTGATTCTTTGAGTGCTCTGCTCTCCCCCCCCAAAAAAAATCAGGTATTCCTCCTCCTCTTCCTCCTCCATCTTCTGCTTCTTCTTCTTCTCCATCTTCTTCTTCTTCTTCTTCTTCTTCTTCTTCTTCTTCTTCTCCTTCTCCTTCTCCTCCTCCTCCTCCTCCTCCTCCTCCTCCTCCTCATCCTCTTCTTCCTCCTCCTCATCCTCTTCCTCCTCCTCCTCCTCCTCCTCCTCTCCCTCTCCCTCTCCCTCTCCCTCTCCCGCTCCCGCTCCCGCTCCTCCGCCTCCCCCTCCTCCTCCTCCTCCTCCTCCCCCCCTCCTCCTCCTCCTCCTCCTCCTCCTTCCGTAGATGTCATCTTTCTACTCCAAAATGCCAACACTATTTTAACACCACAATACACAAGATGTTATTTTTTAAAAAATTGACATGTTTATTTTTTATATGATTTTTAAGGATAGGTTGAAAATGACATGTTTTTCCATATGCAAACGACATGTTTAAGAATGCCACTTAATATGCATTATGGCACAATAATGAAAATTTCGTATAGAAACATGACATTCTCAATATGACATTTTCAAATATTGTAATGACATAAAAGTGACATTTTGTTAAAATACCCAATAATTATGACATTCTCTTATTCAAAAAGTGACATTTTCTGGAATCATTAGTCAAAGCATTTTGAGATTCAAAGTAATCAACATTAACAACAACAAGAAGAAATTCATAAAATAGGAATTATGGTCTTATTTTGTGATTTTGCTGGAGGGGGAGGTCCTGCACTAATGATTGACAGTGGTCGGTGTCTCGCTGGAGGGCGGCTACTGGAGGTTGTGGTGTGATTGGACGGTGGCGATGGTTCTATTGTTGGACGATGGCAGCACCATTAGAAGCAGCAATAGCGATGGAGGCTGTTGTGCGTCGCTGGTGTGCATCACAATAGTAGCACGATTAAGCTTTTTTAATTAAGGGTAGTTTTGTTAGATTACCTCTTTATAGTCCTATATTTGTCAAATAAAACATAACAACCCTATTTTTGCAATTCTAACTTGTTTTAGTCCTATTTAGGTAAATCTCTCTTAATAAAAACTTCATCAATATCAACATATTAAATCAATTTCAATGTAATCATATTTTCAAGATTTCTTGGAGAACACTTTAGGTCTTCACGGATAAAGTGTAAAAATGAGGTCACTATCTTGCTAGTCGTCGATGCCTACAAGCAAAACTAAAGTACTTGTTGCGGGTGACATCTGCATCATCTCTATTCGTATTTTTGGATACATATATATTAGATCAGATTTTCAGATGTATCTTTTTTATTTTCGTACGTAAATATTTGAGCGAGTTAGTTGCTCCATTACTTGGTCTAGAAGTATATGTATGTATCGATGAATTGAAGTGCAAAGATTAACACGTACTACGTATATACTCCATAATAGAACACGTATGGAGGATTTTGTATGAAAACAGGACGTCTAAGCGTCACATATGTTTTCTCGATATTCATATAAAAACAGTAGCTATATTGTGGAAGCAGCTCACGGTGACTCGGTGAGCAGGGACGTAGGCAGAGTAAGAGTTGGACTGAGTCGGTACAAAGAATTTTTATGGATAAATTTTTACGCATAAACTTTTACATTAAAAATATAAGCAATTTTAAAATTTGGACTGGGCCGGGGGCCGATTAGCCACCCCTCCACCTCCACCCCTGTCGGTGAGCATGCTGCTCCCATCTTTTCTCCTCCCCAAAGATGTATGTGGACTATTTCTTTTGTCTTCTACTTTTCACAAGTAATCATAGGCCTGATTCTAGAATTAGACTAAATTTGACTAATTATTTACCAGGGACCACAAACAGGTCAACCGATTCTAGAGTAATATCAGATCGGGGGTGGGATAATAAGATGGTCTCAATATGTAATTTAACGATTGATCACAAAGAGAAAGTTTGTTGAACATTCTACCAAAATTTGAGGTTTTAATCAATAAAAATAAATTTGGATGCTTAGACCTCATTTATTCTTGTAGAACTCTGCATTGTTAGATGAATTACATTTGTTTCATTTATTTATTCCATTGTTTCTCTTCAGACCCTTCCCTTTCCTTTGTGTGAGAGAGGTAAAATCTGAGAGTTGAGAGCTTAGTGTTCTCATCTCCTCATTGAGACCCTTTGTGTGGAAAATTGGGACCGTAAACATGTTGAGTGGTGGAGTGAGTCTAGTCTAGAGTGGTGTGAGTGAGTGGAGTGAAAGGTTGAAGACCTGAGCCGGAAAAGAATCGATCCTCAACAATATTATATAGAGGAAATTTCTCATGGTAGAACTGAAACACTAAAACATAGCATTCTATCCAAAACAAGATCATATGTGTGATTTTCGTTAAATAGGATTAATCATTACATTTTACCTCTATTTAGTTAATTAATCTAATTAATTTTCTCTAATTCTCTGCATAATTAAGGTCAATCCGTTGGTGGCAAATCAGTCCAGTTGTGGTGGCGGTGGAGTACTCCAGCGAGGAGATTCTGGAAGATCAGTGGCGTCGATTTGGGGGGAATCAAGTGAATGGCAGCGGAGGTCCAGACTGTCTATGATTTTTTAAAAAAGTTTGTGGATTTATTCATGATTCTTTGCAAATCAACATAATTTTTCATAAGAATTTAAGTCAATGGACTTTATTAAAAGTCTATGAATGAAAAAATACACCACAGTTCATATACAACAATATACTCCCTCCCTATCATTGATTACTTGCAATAAAAACTTTATTCTGAACTAATTTGTATCTTACAAAATCTTTTTAATTTCTACCCGGCCCAACAAGCCCAAGCGTCCGAGAATTGCAAGACTGCAAGTCATGAATTACGATTCGGGAACCGAACGCCAACCGCCAAGTGCCAACTCTGCGAATCTGCTAACGCCTCTGCCAGACCGCAACTCATCGAAGAAGACGAAGGCGGAAGGTCAACTGTTGACTGTTCGACTAGACGAACTCACAAACGCGGGACGCGGACGCCGGGCGCTGAGTCGCCCAGACACCGACGAAGCAATAGCTGCGACAGTGCGACGCTTGGCCGCCTTCTGCCCGGCCTTGCCGACCTGCGATTCGGATACTTCTCAGCCCCTTCGGCCCCCCTCCCTTCTCAGTTGCCACCTGCTGCCTCCTGGTACTACTAATATGCTATTTAACTCTTTTATTGATTAGTTTAATTGTTCATATTGTTGATACATGATTACTTAATTTTTTGTCTTTTGATTAGTCTATATTCATAATTTCGATTGTTTTGTGTTGATTTGTTATGACTTTGTTGATGTTTCTGTTTGTTGATGTCTAGTTTAATTGATTTGAGTAGTGGTTTTGTTGATTTGTAGATGCTGCTAATTAAGCTATTAGTTGATTGGTGCATAGTTAATTAAACACTTGTAGAATTTTGAGTCATTAGTGTTTTTTTCCTCAAAATAAAGTCATTAGTGTTTTTTCCGAATTTCTGTTGTGTAATTAAATTTTGAATTTATGTTAGTGCTATAATTGGTAAGATAAATTTTTTTATGAATAAATATACAAATTAAATTAATTTCAAGGTGTAATAAAATGGTTGAATCTGTATGAGAGAAAAAAAGATTAGAGCTGTCACCCGCTTACCACAGCACCCTCCTTCTTTATCTTGGTTTGGGAGTTGGGACAGGTAAGATGCCAAAAATGAGTCGGCTCCAATCACCGCTCTGCCATCATGCGTGGACCCTGATAATTTTACTTCTAGATCTGCTGAGTCAGCTTCAAGCTAGTTCGCCACTGCCTCCTATCGGCTTTCTCTAACATATCAAACCTCCTCTACACCCAATTGCAAATTTGGAGGCTAGTTGTCTCATTTATTCAAGGATTGTGGGAAAATGGTTCAGTAAAAGATGTGAAATGAAAAATAATCTTCTTGTATGATACTAGTTATGATTTACATTTCATTGTTTATTTGATTCCATGTGAAATTTAAAGTGACGCATAAAATTTCATACTAGTTAAATTTCATACTCCGTAATTGTTATAAGGGGTTTTAGACATTCTTAAAATATCATTTATCTGATCTTCATCTGCAGCTTCATTATCTATATAGTTATCTATCCTCAATCCTTGTGGATCCAATTCATCAACCTCCCCTCATCAAATTGAATTTTTATTTTTAATCATAAAGTTGTTTTCCTTAACTAGTTGATTATAACTTTCAGTTTTGTGTGAAACATATAATTAGAAATACTCGTTTTCGTTATAAAAGATTTATTTTAATTATACTAGTTGCAACCGGAAGTGTAGAAAGAGGTTGAAGGGGCATTCTCTAGAATGAGAATAATTAAAAACTCGTTGCAAAATCGAATGAAGGATACTACGTACTTCGTATATGTTAAGTGATTGATTATTCTCCTCACTACTGTATTTCTATTTACTTCTATTTACAAATTTTTATGTTTTTTATCCAAACATCTTTTCATAGAACCTCTGTGTTCGAATTCTGAAATTTAAATATGCTGTTTTTTTACCGACTAGGACAAATTCGTGGTTAAGCCACTTAATATACCTATATATATGAATATATGGGAGGGTTTTAGTGAGAATCCTTTCTTAAATGACAACACATTAATGGATTGAAAACTTTAAATCTTCATCTTTGGAATTTCAAATCAATGGCTAGAATCAAACCACATTTGAATATAATAGTTTTAAATCTCTATCTTTGAATTTTGAATAACTACATGAGATACACCTGACACCATGTGCTCCCTAATCAAGTATTGAATAAAATGAAAGGTTATGATTAAAAAGTTCTCATTATTAGGAGTTCTCGTGATCGCAGGTTGGAGGGTGTTCCAATGCTACCATTTCTTGGGGAGGCTACCAAATTGAACCTTCACCTTTTGTATACTTTTTGGCCATATTGAAACTGGACTTTGAAACTCTCTCAATATTGCCCAGGACAGAGAGGTTATCGTGATATTTCAAATCCGGCGGGTTATTGTGCGTCCCCCAATAACCTATTTCACGTCATGGCTTTGTCGACTTGGGCAATCGGAAGCTCTGTTAATTTACTTCCTTCTTCTTCTTGTTCCCAGATTACTCCATTTCCAATATGTAAACCCACAGCTAAGACAAATTCCCGATCTTCGCCCTCGCGTCACATTTGCTGCAATCTTCGTCAAGTCCGAGAGAGAATCGAGGCAGTAAAAAACACACAAAAAGTCACAGAGGCCATGAAATTGGTGGCCGCCGCAAAGGTTCGGAGAGCTCAAGAGGCTGCCGTCAGTTCTAGACCCTTTGCTGAGGCCCTTGTTGAGGTTTTGTACAACATCAACGAGCAGCTCCGGTGGGAAGACGTCGAAGTCCCTTTAACAGCCGTTCGTCCTGTGAAAAAAATTGCGCTGATTGTCGTCACCGGTGATAGAGGCCTCTGTGGAGGTTTCAACAATGCCATCTTGAAGAAAGCTGAGATTCGTATGAAGGAAGTGATGGATCTTGGCTTGGATTGCACCATCATTAGTGTTGGGAAAAAGGGGAATTCTTATTTTTCTAAGCGGAGGGAGAACAAAACAGTGGATAGTTATGTGGAAGGAGGGAAATTTCCAACCATAAAGGATGCACAAGTAATAGCAGACAATGTTTTCTCTTTATTTGTGAGTGAAGAGGTTGATAAGGTGGAGCTGTTGTATACAAAGTTTGTGTCTTTGATCAAGTCTGAGCCTATAATTCACACTTTGCTTCCATTGTCCAAAAAGGGAGAGGTTCGAGATGTGAATGGGAAGACCATTGATGTGGAGGGGGATGAGTTCTTTAGGTTGAGCACAAAGGAGGGGAAACTAACAGTGGAGAGGGACCATTATAGTAAAAATGAAAACAGAAGAGGGTTTTTGCCTTATATGCAGTTTGAGCAAGACCCTGCACAGATTCTTGATGCATTGATGCCTCTTTACTTGAACAGTCAAATTTTGAAGGCACTTCAAGAGTCATTTGCAAGCGAGCTTTCATCAAGGATGAATGCAATGAGTAATGCCACTGATAATGCGATCGAGCTGAATAGGAACCTCTCCATTGCTTATAACCGGCAGAGGCAGGCTAAGATCACTGGTGATATATTGGAGATTGTTGCTGGAGCAGATGCTTCCCTTACATAGGGGTATTGTTTAGCTTTCAATCTTCATTGTTTTTGCATCAGTAATATTTTGAGTTGATCAGCAGGTAATTTATTTGCCAATGGATTCTAGCTGTAGTAGAATATTCTGAAGTATAACTTGTAGGGGTTTCCTATAACATTACTTAAATAAAATCAATGGTCACCGCGCATTACAAATGCCACATTTTTGTGCATGACATTTTTTAGTATTTCCTACGCTTTCTTGATTTTGAGTTAAACCCCAAATTCCCAAAAGTAGAACAATTGAAAGCAAATTTCACAAGTTTTATACTGATCTTCACTTGGAAAGCAATAAGAAAGTATGAAAGTAGTTCTGCCTGTGTAGATGGAAGTTGAAACTAACTTATATGTTGTGTGTAATGTGCCAAATTTGAATTTGATAAAAAAAATGATGCATCACATTAGAGTTTAATAATGAATGGAAATACTAATATGGAAAATATGAAGCACATTATATCGTGGCACTACTGTTCTATACTTGTATGATCTAAAATTCCCATCGATGGCAGTTTGCTACACATCATATCCACATATGCATTGCACTTAAGAACAGTAAATTAGGCACCCGTTGGGTTTTCTGTTTCCACTCAAAATAGTAAAATATCATTAGGAAAATAATCTGGAAAACTTCTCTGGATCACCATAAAAAACTAAAAAGAATGTTGAGCAACACAAATGGGCATGTTTCAGAAATATTTTCCAGACAAATTTGATTATTTATTCTGAGTTTCACACTTGCAAGACATCTTAATTTGATTATTTATTCTGAGTTTCACATTTGCAAGACATCTTAAATATAAAGATATGAACTAACATTTTAAAAACTAATAAGAATTTATAAAGTTGCTTTCACAACCATAAAAAATATTACCTCCGTCCCGAAAAGGTTCGTCATATTGACTTTTCTTGGTTAATGACGAAAAACTTTGAACAATGATTTTAATTATTATATTTGTATATAATTTATAAATTTTATACTTTTATGAAAATATCTTGAATAAAGAATATTTTTATATAATTTTCATATTCTAAATAATTTCGTAATAAAAAATATCATTGGCCAAAGTTGATTATCTTTGAAAAAACCATAAAAAATACTAACAAATGTATTACTGTGTATCCTAAAATGATCATGTTTCAATAAAACTCAACTAAAATGAATAAGTGGTGGAATCTAGTAGAGATGCCACAGTTGTGGGTGAAAGAAGTGAATAATGTCAAAACCAGATGTGCAGATTCGAATTCAAAGGGCTAGGGAAATATAGCTAGCTAGATAGTCTTTTTTTGGTTGCTTCCATTTCAATGGCTTTGCTCTCAGTCGAAAGTTTAAAGTGGCTTTAAGTCTTATCCACCAAAAAGAGATATCACTTCTAGTATTCTATAGTGCTGTCTATTGTTCTAATGGTCGAACTTTATTTTGTCAAGTACTATGCTTGTTTGGATTCGCAAATATTGGCCATTAAAAGTTAATTTCAATATGGAAAAGAAAAGGCAAAAAAACAAACACAGACACACACTTTTGCACATTATTTATTGAGGAGATTTCAAGGGTCTAAACACAGGGCTGGCTGTTTTTCTGAAAATACTATGAATTGAAGAAAGCCTCATAGGAGGGTTAAGGTAATTAAGGATATCGTCAATGGAAACGCTGAAGATTCAACACCTTCAAGCTTTTATTGATGATTCTTTATGCTTAATTATTCAACCAGCTCAAAACTTCTGCTTTACTTCTGTTTTGCAGTGACTGTAACGAATATCTGAAAAGCCCTTTTGAATCTGTTTAAGAAAGCTACATCAGATCCTGGTCAGTGCTAGTTCATTATGTTCTTTGCATGGTTTTCATAGTAAAACATTATTATCAAGAATACCTTTTTCTTTCAATAACCAATAAGGAATGATGTTAAACTTTTCTCGCAATTTGTGCCAAAAATATTCTAGTTTTTTTAAATGCAAAACTGCCCCTGTGTGAAAAGTAGATGTCAGTACTTGAGAGGAGGAATGGGGGCTGGTTGTACAGCAAAGGTAGCACCGGTTGGACCTCAATCGGGAGTGAAGAACTTCAAGAAAAAGATGTATGGGACTGTTTCCAGCATGGAAGGGAAAAAGAACTGAGCAGTCCCACTGTCCAACAAGAATCTGCTGCCTCCTGTTGTGTCCTAAGGCTGATGCCAACTGCAGCAAAAATGATCCCAAGAACATCCTCCAACCAGAATCCACCACCCACTCATGAACCCAAAATCATTCAACACTCAGCTCCAGTCATCATCCCTGATTGGTCAAAAATATATAGAACTGGTTCAAACCAGGCCACTACTTACACCCCGCCATTTCTGGGTGATAGTTATGATCATAGTAGCCAAGCCGAGGATGAAGGTTATGGATTCTTTAGAGGCGGTTGGGATAGTGGAGGTGAAGACGAAAAAGAAGATGATGAATTTGATGACGGCCTGATAGTGCCACCACATGAATGGCTTGGTAGGAGGAAGACTTCAGGAAGCAAGATATTTTCTTTCTCGGTGTGTGAAGGTGCTGGGACGACCTTGAAGTGGAGAGATCTGAGCAGACTTAGAAATGCAGTATGGACCAAAACTGGTTTTCTTGAATTATAACAGTATAGGAGTATATGACATTATTTATTTATACCTTTTGTGATTGCATACTAGTGATGTTAAATGTAGAATTTGGTCCTATGAAAACCTGGCAAGGGTTCTGTGTTAGTTTTTCATCCCTCAATGTTGGAATTTCCAATATATGTTTAACTCCATGACTCGGTCAAAATCAAGAGCAATACGTTCAATTCCAGTAAAAATAGTGTGCGAATTCCGAAATAATAGTGTGACTGTGCAAATATTGTTTATTTACTTCTGGGTTGGAAGAAAATGTGTAGTGGCGGACTAAGAGCATCTCCAATGGTTCTTTTTGAGAATTTGTTTGCAATTTTAAGGCTAATAATTTACCATTGGAGTATTGTTTTTCCTTTTGCTTGAGAAAGCTAATTAGTCAATGAGCTATTAGCTTGAGTAAAGAGAATTACTAAATATAACACTATTATTAATAAATGAAGAGAAAGATGTTATAGCTAACCACTAGAGTACATCTTCATTTTGGTACATCTTCATTTTGGTAATTAGCTAACCGTTGCATATTGTCACGGACTTATTCTCAAACCCGTGCGGCACTAGCAACACTCACTCGAACTATGCTAGTCAGCCTAACTCTTGCGGAAACTAGGACACCGATTGTGGAGAAACTCGTACAAATGCTTTATTGCTCTCAAGCTTTCGATGATACAAATGAGCCAGCCATGAGGGGTATTTATACTTGTCCTCCTCCTCAATGGACGGCTTAGATCTACTTGATCTAACGGCTATAATTCAATTCTAGAGTATTCTATACAACTCTATGATATTCTAGAGTATTCTACTCTATTCTATACAAGTGTACACTTATCTACATGAGTCTAGAATGTTCTTTTAGCCTCCAGGATTCTGCCCCTCTCTCTGAGCAAGTTCTAGACTCCAGCTCGCCTCCAGGTCTCGGTATGCCGCGGCCTATGCCACTCTATGCCGCGGCGTTTCAGGAGAGTCGTGACATTCTCCCCCACTCAATCTCACGACGTCCTCGTCGTGGTCTTCTTATAAGCCTCTATCAAATCCTTGTAGTTCCACAAGGTTAACTCGTGTTCCCAACTTGCCTCGCTGTCTGGAGCATCCTTCCACTTGATGAAGTACTCCACGTAGCTCGGGTGTGCGCCTCTCCTTGGTATGACTCTATGAGCCAATATCTCTCCAACCTCGCGCTCGGGAACCTTCGTTATAGCTGTCGGTGCTCTCCTCGAAATGCCCCTACTCGAATCCTCCTTGTCTTCCTTGTAGGGCTTAAGCAAGCTCACGTGAAACACCGGATAAATCTCCAAGTGTGAGGGTAAGGTCAAGCGATAAGCAAGCTTACCAACCCGCTTCTCTATGGGAAACGGACCCTCATATCGCCGCACCAGCCCCTTGTGCAACTTGGCGAACTTATGTTTCTGGTGGGAAAGGAGCTTCACTAGCACCAAGTCTCCTTCCTCAAACTCCGAGTCTCTCCGCTTAGCGTCGGCCCACTTCTTCATCTTCTTTGAAGCCTTAGCTAAGTATGCCCTTGCCATGTCGGCCTTCTCATGCCATCCCTTGGCAAACTTGAACGCGGATGGACTCGGGCCTCGGTATCCCACGACCAAAGAGTGCGTAGTAGCCGGCTACTGCCCCGTGGCAATCTCGAACGGACTTGCCCCCGTCGACTCACTCCTTTGCAAATTGTATGAGAATTGGGCTATGTCGAGCAACTTTGCCCAATCTCGCTGGTTCGCACTCACGTAATGCCTCAAGTACAACTCCAACAAGGCATTGACCCTCTCGGTTTGGCCGTCGGTTTGGGGGTGAAAGCTCGTAGAGAAGTTAAGCTCGGACCCCATTATTTTGAACAGCTCCATCCAAAACTTCCCGGTAAAACGGGTATCTCGGTCGCTTACGATGGTCTTCGGTATGCCCCAATACTTTACCACATGCTTGAAGAATAAGCGTGCGGCATCTTCGGCGGTGAATTTCGTAGGGACAGGGATGAACACTCCATACTTACTAAACCGATCCACCACGACCATGATGTTCCCACACCCCTCGGACTTAGGCAAACATGTGATGAAGTCCATAGATATGCTCTCCCACGGCTTCTCCGGTGTGGGCAGCGACTCTAGCAAACCCACTGGCTGTTGTTGATCCACCTTGTCTTGTTGGCACACAAGACAAGTATTCACATATAACTCTACTTCATCCTTCATTTGGGGCCAATAGTACGCACGTTCTATCAGTGCCATCGTGCGTCTAATTCTGGGATGTCCAGCCCATCTCGAATCGTGGCACTCCTTGATGATCTCCTTCCTCAACCCTTGCCACTTCGGCACGTAGATCCGATCTCCCTTGGTCATGAGCAACCCCTCTCTAAGCCAAAACTGGCGTGTCTTCCCTCGACTTGCCAACTCCATCAAACTCTTGGCCTTTGGGTCATGCTCCATTCCCTCCTTGACTCGATCCACCAAAGGGAAACTCGGGCTTGTGATGGCAGCTAGCTCAGCCTTCCTACTCAATGCGTCGGCCACATTGTTTGTCTTCCCGGGCTTATACTCCATCACAAAGTCAAACTCCGCAAGAAAGTCTTGCCACCTTGCTTGCTTCGGCGTCAACTTCTTTTGATTGAGGAAATAACTCGTCGCCACGTTGTCCGTCTTCATTTCTTCTAACTCGGGCGGTGCCATCCTATATGGCATGCCCGCTGGTGGTGTAGACCCAGAGATCAACTCGATCTTGTGGTCTACATCTCTCTTGGGTGGAAGTCTCTTCGGCAACTCGGACGGCATCACGTCCTTGAACTTCACGAGCACCTTAGCCACTCCCTCCGGCATATCACTTATCGGCACTGGTTCCTCCTTCAAGATGGCTAAGTATGTAGGTCGCCGCTTCCTCATGCCCCTAGCAAGTTGCAAAGCCGAGATTTGCTTGGATTGAATCCTCTCTTTCCGGGATAGCTTTACCATGCAAGTCTCGCCCTCCTTCATTATACACATAGTGTTGGCAAACGGAATCGGTATTGCCTTCACCGAATCCATAAACTCCATGCCCAACACGATAGGATAGTCGTCCATAGGAACGACCGAAAAATCAATCAAGCCACTCCACTCGCCCAAGGTAACCCTAACCCCACGAGCCACTCCATAGATTGACTAAGGTTGTGAGTTAACAGCTTTCAGCCAACCATGGTCTTCAACATAGGGGATGCCCAATCTCTTTGCCTCCTTAACTTCTAAGAAGTTGTGTGAAGCACCAGTATCAACAAGGGCTTTGGTAGTTTGTCCACGTACCTTAGCTTCCATGAACAAACGCCCCTTCTTCTCCGTCTTGGTCTCGGTTACCTTGGCCTTAATGGCGTTGAGAATGTGAAGGGAACCCACCATAGGTTCCTCCCGTTCTCGTTCCTCCCTTTCTTCGACTAAGGCCGAGAGCTTGGCCTTCTTCGGGCAATCCTTTGCCTTGTGTGGCCCATCACAAAAGAAGCGCTTCAACGGTCTCTTCTCCCATGTCTTGGTCTCCTTTGCCCCCCTTGCTCTTATCAAAGTGTTGGAAACCCTCTTTGTGCGGACGGTGGTCTCCCCCACTCTTTTCTTTGCCCTTCTCCTTAGTCGGTGGCTTCACCTTCTCCGGCTTCTTGAACTCCACCAATGACTCGGCAATAGCAATGGCAATGTCGAGATCTTGAGCCCCACGCCTTTGGACCTCGATCTTAGCCCAACCTTGCAACCCATCCGTAAAAGCAAAGAAAGCTTCCTTATCAGGATAGTCAGGGATATCTAGGAGTACCTCAGTAAATTCCTTCACATATTCACGCAAGCTTCTCTTATGTTGCAAACGCCTTAGCTTTGCTCTCGCCTCCTCTTTCGCATTCATAGGGCAGAACTGTTTCTTGAGTTCACTCTTGAACTCCTCCCATGTGTTTATAGTGCAAAGACCCTTCTCTCGGTCCCCGTACTTCCTTCTCCACCACAACATGGCGGTATCCTCCAAATACATGGTTGTCGTGTCGACCTTCTTGGTATCATCAACAATACCAAGAGCCTTGAAGTATTGCTCCATACTCCACACAAAGTTCTCTATCTCCTTAGCATTCCTAGCCCCTTTGTATGTCTTGGGTCTAGGAACATCAACCTTGGAGGGAGTAGGACTCACCTCACTCAACGATGTGCTTCCTCCTTGCACGACCGCCTTCTTGCATAGGACCAGATCTTCCTTGGTTTCCACCAACTCGTTGGTGACCTTCTCCAACTCCTCCCGTAGTGAAGCAACCATGGTCATCAAAGTCCCCTCCAAGCCCTTGACCTCGGAAAGACATCGGTCGAGGATCTCATTGACCGCTCCTTGCACCTCACCTCGAAGATCTTCACTATTGTTCGCAAGTTCCACGATGCGTTGGTCGACTTCCTCAAACCTTTCTTCCCCATCGGCTATGGCAAGCTCCGCCTTGGCTAGCCGAGTCTCCACCTCTGTCATGGCTTCTCGAGACTTGGACCTTCCCCTCTTGGTTTGCTTCCCGGCATCCATGTGAGTTGTCTCGCTATCTGAACCTGCCATCTCTTCTCAAGGACACGAAACCAAAACCTTGGCTCTGATATCAACTGTCACGGACTTATTCTCAAACCCGTGCGACACTAGCAACACTCACTCGAACTATGCTAGTCAGCCTAACTCTTGCGGAAACTAGGACACCGATTGTGGAGAAACTCGTACAAATGCTTTATTGCTCTCAAGCTTTCGATGATACAAATGAGCCAGCCATGAGGGGTATTTATACTTGTCCTCCTCCTCAATGGACGGCTTAGATCTACTTGATCTAACGGCTACAATTCAATTCTAGAGTATTCTATACAACTCTATGATATTCTAGAGTATTCTACTCTATTCTATACAAGTGTACACTTATCTACATGAGTCTAGAATGTTCTTTTAGCCTCCAGGATTCTGCCCCTCTCTCTGAGCAAGTTCTAGACTCTAGCTCGCCTCCAGGTCTCGGTATGCCGCGGCCTATGCCACTCTATGCCGCGGCGTTTCAGGAGAGTCGTGACAATATGCTCTAATGGTTGCCCATATTTTCAACTTTTCTGTTAAAGTACTTCCTATAATGTAAAACATTAATAAATATTTAAGATCTTAACTTTGTGCATTGAAGAACTTTTATTCAATTCTTTCAATTTGTAGTAACTGTAGTTGAGGTTGATAGCCATAATTTTAGTTAATTGATATTTGGCAAAATTCTGATTTTTTCAAAAGAACGACATTAGAGATGTTCTACTACTAAACAATTAGTTGTTGAAAGTGATAT